TTAAATGAGCAATTTCATCACCAGTATATGAGAACCAACGTTTAATAAGGCCTCTTCACACGTATACAGGTGGTGCAATCAGCTAAAGTCCTCAAACATTTATGTTAATTTACGTTGAATAAAGGAGTGTCATCAAAACAGGTCGCTTTCCTTTTGGCTCACCGAGTGCTGATGAGGGTCAACGTAATAAAGTGGGTTCTTTTAGATTACGCAGGCGATTTTTCCATCAGTCCCGACTGGTATCGCTCAAAGGGGAAACATGTACTCGCAGTTTTGGGCGCTACTAAACCAAAAACGAAGTCTTTCTCTGAGGTTCATACGCAAGTTTAGGCATCTTCACAATAGGCCCCCTCAAGGAATCTAATTGCTTTACGGCACTGGATTTAGTCGGTCATGTTAAGCGGTGCAGGTAAAATGCTGATTAATAGAACACCATATCATAGCTCAATTAATTTCGCGCGTAAATTTTATTCCTGCATGAGATTCAAAGGGACTGAAAGATTGATTACTTCGCCGAAATGATGCACGTTGAAAAAAAACGACCTTAAGCTTCATTTTTTCTTTTCCTCTTAAAAACAGCTCTGCACAGAAATATTCACAAATGACTTTCCAGTCCGCAATCAGGGACAAAACAGTCACTCATGAGGATCCTTAAAAGTAGATAATTACCAAACGAAGACTGCCAGTCTCCTGAATAAAGTAATGGTAAGAAGAAACGGATCAAGATAACATAAATGAAAGTGTTCTAATTTTCTGATGAAAAAAATTTGTTCGAGGAAGTACACTGACTCCTGCATTTGAAGAGCTGGGCAAAATTTCCTCATTCTTTATTATGCATACAGTTTTTGTATAGAGTGGCCGATTGTTAATACTGGGCGTAGCTGACAAAAATATTCCAGTGAAATATTTTAAGAAACAAAACAGTCACATCAGTTATCAGTAGAATAGTCTTGTCCATTCATAAAGGGAAACAATGAAAGATGCCGAAAGAGATAGCACCGGATGTATTATTACTGGCTCTCTGCAGGGTAAAAAAAAAAGGTTAAGGAGTTGATTTCTTTGTTTTATAGATTGAGCAGATTATTTCATCATCATTCTTGACTTGCATCTCTGAGAGAGAACATCTGTCTGAAGTCTGGACGCCTTAAAGTAGGAAGGTAAGAAAATCAAACCAAAGGTGGGCAAAACCTTTCCTGCACTGCAATGGGCGTCTGTACCGTTAAACAGTACTTGAATTTTTTCAGCTTTGTGCCGTGGAAAGGAGGTGCAATGTTTTTCGGATTTTAACCGAAACAATTGATCACTTTCCGAACGATTTGCTACACACAATTTTGCCCGATCGCGTGGCGTTTTTATACATGGCGTATAAAAAGTTTTTGCAAACAAAATGGGTGAAAAATCTTGGCCCAGTGATTCTATCTTCGTGTAATGGTGATTTTTCATCAAATAACGCATTTTAAGAGAGCGAGAGTAGGCTTATCCATTATATACTCAGTATTCAATTGAAAAAAATTGTGACAAGACAAAACATTCTCTCAATAGACACGAGACAGATACGATAATCTTATGCATGGCCATCGACTTCTCTCAGTCACAATGCAGAGTGGGGGAATAACTTACCTAATGCAGTTATTTATTGCTTTTTATTTGCCCCAACTCGTAGTTAATACACTCCATTCCTTGTCACGTATGTCATACATGTTTCAAGCGCAGCAGGAATATTTTTAAACTTTTCTGATGCAATTATTTGATGCTTTTTGTTTGCCCTAAATGTAAATCTATTCTGGTTATCAGAATGGACATGCGCGTGACACTTGTGCTGGTGGTCTTTGTTGCCATTACAATGGGAAAACGTTTGAGGAGCCGTTTTGATTTCAAAGAGGATGATGAGCTACCACAGGATGACAATGTAAGAATACTTTTAAGTTAGTGCAGTTACAGGAGAGCTTCCTTTAAGATACTACTACTGCGTTGTGTACTATTTCCTTTACTGATGAAGATTTCTATAAATACGAAGTAAAGAATCTGACTGATCGAGAAGGATAACCAGTTGGTTATTCACTTTGGTAGTAATGATTACAATGTGCGTTATAGATCGAGACCATGAATGACCCTGGTTGTTTACGTTGTCCAACTATTCTTGGACCTTCAAGTCACACTTGCTGCCCGCCAAAGAGATGGTAATTATCCTATAAGAAACAATTTTAGTAAAAGCTCACTTTTTCAGTTGAGTTAAAGATTTAACGATGATACCATGCCATCATCCCTTCACTGTCGCTGTCCCCGTCTCTGTTACTGTCACTGTCGCTGTCCCCGTCCCCGTCCCCGTCCCCGTCCCCGTCCCCGGAAAGAGCTATTCTTGTCCAATCGCTCCAGTATCTATAGTCCTAAACCTGTTTTAAACTGTTGACACAGAGAACTTTCTGAAACCTCATTATATTTTGAATGAATTGATAAGAAAGTTTCGTTAAAAGCACCTTTCTAATCATAAATATTACAAACAATTTACAGCTTTCAATTCGGCAATAAATAACCCGCCAACAGGGACTTTTAAGAGCAGATAGTTATTGAAAGTTGACTGCCCGCTTCATAGAAGAGAGAATGGAACGATAAAATCCGGAGAACATAGATAAAAGCGTTTTCAATTAACTTCTTTTGTTTTCGCCGGGTGGAACAGAATTGTCCTGCTGAAATGTGTTCTACTGACTGCTTTCTTCAGTTGAAGACTGTTAGTGATGGCTAGGGCCGAATGAATACGTTTATATGTCGTCAAACATGCAACCAGGTTGATAGCTTCCTAAGTTTCTCTAAAAAACCGAAATTTTAATACCAAACTCTTTAAAAACGGTAAAATATCAAAGATGTAGAGAATATCAGTGGCAAGTTTTAGAACGCTGGTAACGTTCAGCTGTTTTTTAGGTCGAAGGCCAATGCAGGAAACGCAATAAATAAACATAGTCCTTCAGCTATCTGCCTTTAGGAACGTAAAACCAATCAGCTCCTGTATAACATCGGTAAACTCGGCTACCGCGCCTTTATGCATTTTAAGATGAACTATTCTCGACATTGCTTTGAACTACTAATTCGACATTCCCCTCATAAAAAGGCCCAATCCTTTTATCCTTTTACACGCCATTTTTCGCAGAACAGGTTCGCTAATAGACCTTTTTTCTAACTTTCCAAGCACCCACTCAACTCATAAGCTTCAAATGTCAAGTACTAATACGCACCACCCTGTCGTTTCACCCGCAACGCAACAGTCTTTGGCCCCGGGGGCATGCAATTTGTGCAAGAGGTCTGTGAGGGGCTTGGTACTTAGAATCGGTAGAACCGAACCCTCGAGGACTTCTTGAGTGCTCACATCGCTCGCCGACTCGAAACGCTTGGGTTCGCCGTTCGTGTCGCAGCGCCAATGAAAACCTGTGTGGCCTACAATGCCAGAGCCTATTTTGCTTTCCATATCATGGGGGACTATGAAGGGTCCAGGAGTATTTCTACTCTCCCAGGACAGGCTGGTACTCTTTACTGAGAAAAGCTCGATTCGTTTAACTCAAAACAACCGTGAAAAACGCCAATAGGCAGTTATTTTATTTCAAAGATCAGTGGAGCTTATTATTCTATTTTCTACACAAAATACTACCGGTTACGAAAAGTTTCTGACTTGAATGGAACATGAAATCGCACGTTTAAATATCTTCACTAGCTCCACAACATCTCTGTACTTTCTTCTTTGTGCTCACATCGGTTTAATGACATTTTCCATCCCATTTACTGTAAATCATTAAAAATAAAGTAGAGTTCTAATTAGGTATTACAAAAAATATTTAAAAGCTAAAAAGAACTTGGTAGGGTTCATTACACTGCGCGGATACTCCGTATAATTGTGCTAATTACAAAATGCTCGGATATGAGTGGTTCCTTACAGCCCCTATCTGCGGGTTAATTGGCTGTTTCAAGTACAAAATGTCTGATTTTACCTGTCCGATTACAAACACTGGTTATTGGACAGAATCGGGCAGGCCAAAACAGACAATTAACGAGCCAATAAAAATTAAACATTTAAAGTCATTGGCCAATAAAACTTAACTACCTAACCAATGCCGGCCAATCGAAATAAAGAAAAACTTTTTAAGCAAGCAGGTTGAGAGGTTCACACTGAAAACAAACATGGAAGAAATTAACTAGTCTATTGACTGGTATTCAGGGTATGTGCCCTTACATTAAATATTTAATTCCTGAGTTTCTCGCATTTTGTTATCGGCACAGGTGGCCGTCGCACTTCATGTCGGACAATTCAGGGGCAATCACGCTCATAGTTTCATATAAGTCTTGCGCTACGCGCTTGGACAGTTTGAAATCACTCGCTAGGTTACTCCCTGAATTATATTACGCTCATCCCTGTTAATGCTTGATTAGTACACGTATGGTAAACTGAAATGGCGACTTTTTATGTATGTGCGAGGTTTCTCAACACCTAAATATTTGTAAAAATTTCCTGCCTCAACTCAACTCATATGATTTAAATGTCGAGTAATACTTACCAAGTTTGATCCGGAGTGCAACAGTCCGTGGGAGTGGTAATAAAACGACGGTAGCATTTTTTACAAGCTCTCTTCTTCCAGGGCCACCCTTGCTGGAGAACTTTACCTTGTATCTATGAGAGACATCAGCAATGCACTATTAAAATAAGAGCATATTAAGTACCTCTCATGTCGATGTGTGAGAAAATAAAACAAAAGCCAACAGACAAGTAATTACATGTAAATATTTACTATTTATCAATAGCATCATGACACCGTACCTCATCACCCTGTTTTAAGCCAAAACGGCTCCTCAAATGAAGTCCCATTGTCATGGCAACCAAGACTATCAGTATAAGTGTCACGCGCATGTCCATATTGATAACCTGAATAGATTTGCATTAATTTAACAAAATGTCTTGAATTGTGGCAAAATGATGAAATTCGGAAAGTTCCATCAAATGATTAGACAAGAAAAAAAAACAGAAAACAGTCGTGGTTTCATTTGCTGCCAGGATTAATAAAGGAGTCTACTAGGCGTAGATACAAGAAAATTGATTATTGTGCATTAGACAATTATCTATTATTCGTGGGCGTTGGATAAGTAGGGCGTGTGATTATCAAATGAATGCCGCAACTGAAGACAAAGAATCATGGTTCTAGAGGTTCCAATATAGGTTCGGCGGGATGTAGGATGAGGCTTAAAATCGAGGCGGGATGTGGGATAAGAGAAATTTTAAAGGCGAGATGCGGGATGAAAATAGGAAGGCGAGACCGGGATATGCTCCGTTTCGAAGGCGGGATAGAGGATAGGACGGGTATAAGCCCGTAACGTCCAGCGAAACGAGTATCACTTTTTTCGGAAGCTCTGTTTCTTCCCATGAAGTTGATGAAGTCTGTTGTATCTTTGAGATATGACTCCTAGTGTTAGGCGATCGGCTGAAGAATTTTTATCCACTATTGTGACAGTAAAACTCTACTGTTGGTCCTTCTGATGATGGAGGTTTTTTTTGTCTCATTTAGAAATGACCGTAAACACACCGAGGAACAACCGTTTTTTAAGCGTTAAATACGCATTAAGTCTTTTCCTTTTTCCATAGTGATAGTACATCATAAATATTGCAAAGGCTAATTTGTCCATTAGTTGGTGGTGAACTAAAGCAACTTGGGTTTAACCCAGCGGGATCGGGATTAAAATGTTCATTGAAGCGGGATGGCGGAATGGTGGAATGGCGGAATGGCGGGATGGAATGAAAAATATCGGCAGAATGCGGGATTGAAAAAGTCTATTTTGGACCCTCGGTTCTAGGCTTATAATATGTATTTGAAATGTTAACTTATGAACACCTAACGCATTTCAGTCTGCATCAGTTCGGACTGGACTCAAAACTTGCGGGGTTGTTCCTTCTGGAAGTGAAGCTCTAGTGAAAAGAAGTAATGCGTTGTTTTACCCTCATGCACGGCTGATAGGATACAAATGCTGTGCAGTTACGAGAATTGTGATGAGTTCACGCGTTAGGGGTTAAAAGTGGCCCAAAATCACACATAAACTTTGATCAGATTTCATACCTTTTCGAAACTTCAGATAGATGTTCTCCCTTGGAGCAATACTAGTCGATTGCGATGACAAAATAGATCTCTTTATCTATTGCTGAAGTAAATAAGAAACTTCATTGAACTTTTTTCCACCCTTTAGAGAGCCAATAAAAAGGTAAGTTATTAATATTACTTAATTATCTTATCTTATCATATCATATCTATCAAAGTATCTTACAAGTGACCATCCTCTTTGTGAAACATAGGCGCGTTTTAATGGCTCCTTCATACACCACTCTAAAGGAACAGCCTACTAAGACCTTCCCTAAGGGTTTTTCATGCAAACATTTGAGATGTTTTCCACAGTTGCATTTACTCCACGCTTAAACCCAAAACCCATATTTAATACAATACAATAAAACGCAATATTCTTTAGTTAACGAAGGTGACGTAATTAACTCAATGAGTTATCTAACTTACGGTTTTCACAGCAGTACAAATGCATATATTAAATAATGACTAATCAACACTACCTATTTGCTTAAGATCATTATCAAGGCAATTAAAAAGGATGGCAGCCCTTGGAAAGATTTACGTAAAACCCTATACCATTTCTAGAACAAAACATCAATCCAGCAAGTAATTTATTTGTTTCGCCATTGTTTTGTATACACCTGGTTAGAGGGAAATTTTCCCTCTAGGAAAGATTTCTGTTTAACTCCATACTTTCAAATCAAATAACTCTACGTATCATGAAGTCAGATTTTAATTCCGTTATTGGTTTAGTTACGCCCTAAACTAACCATTTTATTACTTTGACCCTCATCAACCCTCGGTGGGTTCAAAGGAAAGCGACCTGTTCTAATGACAATCCTTTATTTAACATAGATTAGCATAAATGCATAGTGACCTGAACTAATTAAACCACCTGAATACATCTGAATATGACCGATCTTGAATCCGGCCGGTATTTTCAGAATTTAGAGTCTTTAATCCTAAGAGTCCGAGTTGACTAAAACGGCGCCAATGTTTTGTCCATTAAGGATTAGCTGACAACACAAGAGAATCAATTATCTCTTGCCAACTAGGTAATAAAAAAAACCAGCTTTAGGCATTTCCTTTGTTGTTGAACATATTGTTTTAGATGTCCTCGTAATTTCGTTTTGCACGTTTGTCACATTAAAAGAAGGGATCTTTGGCGGTCAGGCCCTCAACGCCGAGGAAGACGTGGATTAAAAAATGAATCTATATTTACGGTTAGAATTTTTTTCGAATAGCTGGATGCGTGTACCTTCTCTTACAGCGCCACACCTCAACTACAGCTTCACGCACGTAAGCAACGTTGAGTTCCAAATGGGAACTTAAATGACTCGCCGTCAGGGTTTCGGTTCTAACACCACGCAAATTTTGGTAATTTCAAGTTGTTGTCTTTCAGAGGACGGCTAAGACATTTACGAAGTTTTAAAACACTCGAGCAGAGCTATTGTTCTGCCCATGATATCTTTTGTTTACCACAAAATATCAAGAATGCACAAAATATCATTAAGACCTTGGGTTTACTTTTTCATGTCTTAGTTTATTCCAGTTTCATTCATTTTGTTCCACAGTTCAATGGACACCAAAAGCGTCCTTCAAGCACTACCTTTACGTATCTCAGTTTTGTGAAAAGGTTTTCCGGACGTAACAAGTCTCTCGGCTCAATACATAACATGGACGAGGGAATTTGACAAGAAAAACTGCCTGGAGCAAAATAATGTGGCAAAATGAAGAAGAGAATGGCAGCAGAGTGAAGTTGACAGAGTAAATTATATTGGACAGTTCATTTAGAAAACTTAGGGAGACATAACTCGGAATGTTTTTGTATCTTATGTTCTCTTCCAAAGCTGTAATGGTCAGTCGCATATTGCGATTGCTGCCGCCGGAGTTGTAACCATGCTTTGAGAGATTGGAATCGGCTGCATGACACAGCAAGACGAACCATTCATCTGACTGACTCAGATAGCTTGTTTCTCTCATCTTGATGTAACAGCTCGCTCTTTGCTGAAGTCATAGTTATACTGGAAGAGAAAAAACAAACGCGAAACGAAATTTCGACCAAAATACATGTCACTTTTAACCAGCCTAGGCCATGCAAATTGGAAAATTTCAAGACATTGCCTAACGGCTAATAGGATGAACTAACAAATATATCCCGATTTATAACTTGGCATAAGAAGACCGAGCTGAAATTCTTAGTTCCCGTAATAAGCTGGTTCCGAAGTTGATCCCTCAAGAGGCATTCTCGGGGAATCTAAGCTTCATGGGAACAATGAACAAGACTGCAATCGAGCCTTGTAAGCCTGGGAGCAGTCTCTCATTACCGCTGCAGCACTGATCACCAAGCCCGCAGGTTTGGAGCCGGCTTCAACGGAAAGTTCCACTTACCTTTACGTCTATGTCACTGACAGATAAGCTTTGCATAGCGGGAATCACAGGCTGAAAAAAAGATATAACACCCTCGTTAAAGAGAGTATGTTGAATATCTTCTCTGTTCTCTGTTAAATATTGGATAACAAATGATCTTCACCCCTTAATATCATAATTTTCTCAAAATAAAGACGCCCAACCACTGAACCACCCCGTTCATTTTCTCATTCCTATTTCTAACTTTAAATCCTTGCGTTTTCGCTCATGCAAAGAATATTCGAATTTAAGACAAGTCGGCGCAAACCCACATTCGAGCAAAAACGATTCTATGTTGTTCATTAAGATCACACTGCAACGCTTACAGCTGTAAGGTCTACTTAGCACAGCCGTCAGACGTAGGCGAATGTGCAAACGCTGTGGTGACTAGGCGGCGTGCTTTCAGGATGTTAGAATCAAGTTGTCTTACAAGAGAGTTATAAACAACTGCATGAGCGAGCAAGTCGCGGTGTTTGAAAATCGTTTGACTTTTTCCAAAAAGCTCAAGACACAATGGTAACCAGAAAGAAATCCATACGTAGACAAACTTTGTGTTCGAAAATAATCCATTTTCCTTTTTTTTTTTTTTTTACTTCGTTTGCTTTCACAGAGTCCTATGAACTAATTAACATTTCTTTTTTCACATATCTTGTGTGTCAGCGGTCGTTTCTTAAGTTTTCCTTTGAAATTTTAAGCAGCACATTAACGCACTACCGGCCAAAATTGGTTCCCTTGCGCATGTCCTACATTATGAACACCGCTGTGGTAGACGACTTTAACCTACCCCTGACTTTTTCCACAGCATCTCAAACTTGGAATTGACCTCAAACGGAAGGCCTTCAATTGCTATCAAGAATAAGAAAAAAAAAACTGAGTATCACTGGCAAACAAATGCACTGTATCTTTACCCATGTTTGGGCGATAATAAAGATGAGCACTGACATAATTCAAAGACCTCAGCGAAGAAAACAAAGAGCAAAGTGTTACATAAGAAAGAACAATTGTCACAAATATTGCGACAGAACACCACTGAGCTCGCAGATCATGCTGCTTAGAAAGTGTTCATTTTCTGGTGCAGGTAAGTGTAAATGAACATGTATGTATTCACACCTGTAGTTTGTATAAGTGAGCTCTCTTAATTAAGAAGCAAGTTTCCAGAGATGGAAGTTGTTTAATATTAATTTCATCTCTAGGTGGTTCATTCAAAGATCATGGTTACTTATGGTGAGGAAGTCAATACAAATCAGCCGCAATAATTTCCTTTCCATTGTGCTCTTTCCCTTCACTTCATCCATTCCCTTCTAGCGTTCTCCTACCACAAGAAACCGAAGTTTAAGGTTTTATTCTGTTGTAAAATTTTCCTCTTCTCCAAGTATCCTATCACATTGGTTGCTACAGACAAGGTTATACTCACCGGAACTTGCTCCAGGTTTAGCTGACACTGCAGGAAGTGCTTGATAACCTAGCTGGTGCTGCTGGGGACTTGGGACTGGAGCCTGACCATACCTATGGAAAGGTAAAGACACTGTAAACGTCTGGCACAGAATGAGTTTATTTTCTTTGTGCTTAGCTAATGGATATTTTTGTGTATGCCAAGGTGGATCCAGGGTGTTCTTAGAAGGGGTGCACCACAAAGAAATGAAGTAACTGACACACAATACAATAAGAATCATTTTAAAACGAACAAAGAAGAAGGGAAGTAATAAAATGTGAACTACTAAGAATACATAGCAAACAATACAGTAGATTTTGCATAACCATGAAGTTACATTAGAAAGCTGGAGATCATCTCAAAGGGGTGGGGTTGTGCACCCCCTCTACCCTTCCCCAAGATCTGCCCCTGGTATTAGTTGTAAGTTTCAAAAATATATTTTTTAAGAAAGCATACAACATCCATATTTCTAAACATAATAGTCCAATCATTACTGGCATGTGCCATTGATACTTTTTCAGACACATTACTTCTTGTGTTCACTAGATGGCTTGTATGATCTGAGCCTAAGCTAACCCTTTACACTCTGAGATCAGTATCCTTTTTCTCCTTAATCTTCTCTATACATTTCCTTTGGTCCAAACAAGGAGAATTTGTTTAACAATCAAAGCATCTTAGGTTGGCAATCATTTCCTATATTCTCATGATTTTAATGAACAATTCAGCAGTTTTACTGTAAGGAGAAATTAGGTGCTGGTCATTTGATGGGTTAAATGAATAACTGCTTTTATTAGGTCAAACATAGCTTGTTTTTGCACAAAAGCTCAGCTGGTTGCATATGATATTCACCAACTAATTTTGATGTTAAATTATGGATACCAACTGTTTAATATTTTTTTTATTTCATGTTAGCTTTTTATGTAAAGGAAACTAACCACTGATTTTGAGGAGGTACATTATATGGATTCTGATGAACTGAAGGTGGTCCTGGTGGTTCTCTTGTCATTGGAGCTGCTTTGAAACACACTGACAAGTTATTTACCTCATTCCTGGAAAAAAAACACACATATACATTCCTCAACAACACTTGACCATGAAACTGGATCATCAGAGGTATAGAATAGTCCTAAAAATGACTGATGATGGTCAAAGTCAATGGTACTTCAGCACCCAGAGCATACATCAGTCAATAGAGGAGTTTGTTGGTCATTTAACCCTTTTGTTCTTCTCTGTTCTCTACACATTTCCTAGGGTGCTGACAAGGAGAATTTGTTTAAAAATCAAGAGCTTCTTAAGTTGCTGAATTCATTTCCCTCATTCTTGTGACCCTAATGAGTGAGTCCAGGGTGATATTGTAAGGAGAACTTAGATATTAGTCACTCTCAAGGGTTTAAGGGTTTGGGTTGAAATTCTGGTGTATGGACACTTATTGGCCAGTTTTGCCACCATGTTATTGGAAACTAGTTTGATTAACTGAAGGATTCAGAATATCACTGGGTGAAAAAATTGACAGTGTTGGACTGAGCAACAGATGCCAGATTTAGTTGGAACTTTACATCAATCAGGATTCTGCCATTCAGCTGTTTGCAGAAAGGTTGTCATAAAAAAGGAAAAAGAGCACATGACAATTTCAAAGGGTAATTAATGAATTTTAATAAGTGAAACAAGTAAATATGGACAAAAGGACTAATAAACAGAGGATAAACACCCATATGCACTTGGATCCAAGAGGAACAAAATCATAGAATATTATGTTGTAAACAATTTTTTGTTAGGTCACTTTGAATTTGCTCATATTAAGTTTACATCATTTCTGCCATTCACTGGGGTAAGTCTGTTCTTTTTTCATTTTTCATCAAGTTTAGAATTAAAAATCAGTCTTGGGAACAAAATGAATTCATCAGACCTGAGAACTACCCACAATGCTTTTGGGGAAGTTGCATACACTCCCCCTGTTTCTGACAACCTTAATGCAAATAGCTGTACAGTATATAACACAGCAGCTCTACTGTCACTAGGTGTATCCATTCATAACAACTCCCTGAAATTACACTTTAAATCTTTATAACCTCAACTCAGCAGGCACATTCTCCATATTTAAGTCCTGGAAAAGCAAGGCACTGATGTAGAGATACTTACGTAATTAATTTGTATCCAGGAGGGGCTGTTTCTCCTTTGTTTCTGTTAATTAACACAATATCAAAGACTGCACTGACAGCTGTCTTGCTTGCCTTGATTTTGAAACAAAGAAAATGTTTCCGCAGAGCTTTGTCATCTGGAAGAAAGAGAGAAGTTACATAACTGTATAATATACAAAGATCTCTAAGATATTAACCTTTTAACTCCCAAGATCTCATTAGTACTTCTCCTTAATGTCTGCCAAATGATTCTCTTTACGTTAGTTTAGAGAATTCAATATTGGATCAATTAGTAATCTCATAATTGATATTTTTCTTTATTCTCATCCCTTGTCCACATAATATTGTGTAGATATAGGGAAGTGTTGAGAAAGACTCATACAAGTACATAAAAAGTATTTAATTCATTACTTTTGGCAATCACAAAAGCAGAGACTGACTTTTTTATCTTTAATCCTTTCACTCCCAGATCTCATATTAAGTAATTCTCCTTACTGTCTGCCATACAGTTCTTATGATGTTAGTCCAGAGAATTTGGTATTGGATCAATTAACAATTGCCCAACTGATATTTCTCTTTATTCTTATCACATCTTTCCTTGACATTGTATTGATTTTGAAAGGAGAAATTCTGTTTTGGTCAGAGTTAATGCTGCCTGGGTTAACCCTTTAACTCCCAGAAGTGATTGACATGAAACTTCTCCCTAAAATATCCATACATATATCCAGCAACCAGGTAATGAGAATATTCAAACTTATCAGGTAAAAGTCATCAAATAACAAATTCTTGTACCTGATTTGTAAGGACATGCATAGCAGCTTCAGGGGAGAATTAACATTAGGATCTTGGGAGTTAAAGGGTTAAGAATTGATATACAGTGGACATTAATTATAAACAGCACAGTCATACTACTTAACAATAAAATTTTTTGCCACTTAAAGCCTCATATTTGCTGCTTATTAAAATCTTGTAATTTAAAATATGGTGCAATAATAAAACAACTACTGGTAAGTAGAAACTCAAGCCCTTGCTGCTATCTATTACTGTAAAACTGTTTATGGAACTGTACAATAATTGCAAAAACACAGCAAAGAAGGAAAAGTCTTTAAGGAACACAAAACCAGTGCATGTGTAGGAAAAAAATCAGAACTTCACTCCTAGACATAATTAGTTCAGACACACATCTTCAGAACAACGTCTATGATGATTCCTATGCCCCTCTCCTCCTTCCAATGTTTTTAATAGTCCATTTTACAGTTGTGTGGCTGGGTGCCAAGCCTTTGAAGAGTGGTAAAGCTAAGGATGAACTTGTTATGATATAAACTTTGCTGCTTTTCAGATGTAAATTACTTTGTTATCATTCTGAATAGACATTGGTCTCTTTCATGACAAGGTCATCTTAGGTCTCACTTCAAATCAAAGGCTTGGCAACTAAGTACAAAACTGTACTGCAAATGGTCTATTGCCAATGTTTCTATGCCATCTTGTGGATCAACATTGAGAGGGATGGGATAGGCAAAGGGTGTCCCAACAAATGTGTTGGAGGGTACTGTTTCTCGTGTCTCATGCCTAGACAACCATGTTGAAGAACAACCTTGCCTTGAAGCAGAATAATTAAGTACTTCAGAAATTTGCCAAAGATCAATGGCTGCACATACCATCATCATGAGCTTTTGTGAGTGCCGTAAATCCTGCTGGCACATGATCATCCTCACCAATAACTGTTAGGTCTTCAATCACATTCTGTCCTCCCTAAGAAAAATTGATTAAACATAGATTCAGTATAAAATTATTTTTACATTTGATTAATGAAAGAGATTTCCCAAGCCTGGTATACTTGGTTATTATACATAGTTTTGATGATTTAATTGCAAAATTTGAAGCACAATTCAATCTAATGCAGCCTGTTGTGTGATAAACTTCAAGAAATGCTGCACAGTTTTTTTCTTTATTACACCTATTTTGAGATCACTGGTGGTCCTTGTAAACTTATTGGCTCTAGTTGGTGCAATTTATTCATGAATTACAACATTTTTTGCTTTAAATCACATCTTTTTCCCAGCCAATGAGCAGGCCACACTAAAAACAAAACAACCAATCAGATTTCAAGGTTTGTTTAATGTAGCCAATCAAATTGCAGGAAAATGAAAGACAAAGAGTATCATGTGGCAAATTTTGCAACTTTTATTTCCAAACTCATATTTTTTCCCCCCCAAAAATGGATGAATTTAATTTCAAACCAGCTCAGTACTGCATCAATAAAATATTTGAACTGACCAAGTCCTGTATTTGGGACACCAAACTCAGTTCAATTACCATTATTTATATGCATTGGCTATCATATGCTATGTTTTAAAGCTGACTCAACCATCTAAGAGAAAGGCTACTGTTTAAATTTTTAACCATCACAAATTTTGATAAACTTTGTATAGGGTAAGTTTACTATCTTTCTTCATAAGCTGGTTACCTGTCTTGCAAAGCAAAGATAACGTTTCCCTTTATGTCTCCATGTGCTGTCAAATAACTGCCCATCGTTACCTTGAACAGTCTTTGTAAGCTTATTGAGTGAAGAAGTAAAATTATACGAAAGAAAATGAGTGGAAGCATAAAAGCAACCACATTGTAATATTTGCAAACAGTTATATACAGCAATGGCTTAATAAAATAATCTCACTCTAATTAATTTTAAGAAACAAGATTAACATGAATGGAAGCTACCACTATTTAAAAAAAATGTGTGGGACATGGAGGTAAAAAGTTTAAGTTGCCATTTATGAATGAAGCCAAAGAAATGCAGATTTTATGGTCGAGCCTCGACTATTGAATGGGTGGCTAATGCTATCCTCTGGAAAGTTACCAGGAATTTTGAAAAAACGGGCCCTAGTTTGGTAAACAGAGAAATTGTACTGTTCTAAACACAATCTTGACATTTTGAGGAGTGTGATCAACATTATTTAAGTTGTATGCAAAATACAAGTTTTAGTAAACAGGTTTGGTGATGAGAAATTTCTAAAACAAAATCTAAATTCTTATGAGTTCACTAGAGTGATTCTCTTTTGTAGATAGGGCTTGTAACTGGAAACCCTCTCTTTGAAACAAATCATGCAGCTTGTGGACTTGCTTTCAATATCTGGTACAGCAATCACAACACAATTTTGTGCCATAAAGACTGCAAGGACTATCACCTGTCTTTATACCATGCTAGAAAATTACATTAGTTGGAAATGATTGTACTCTCATGAAAACCAAAACAAATTTGAGATAAAAAATTCAAAATATATATTTTATAATAAAATTCATAACTAATTCATTAATATTTACCAAGACAAAAATCGAAATACTTGAAAACGTAGATATGATTACCAGACAGCTTTTCTGGCTCGCCTCAAAGGTTCATATCATAAAGTTTGATACAAAGACAGTGTATTCCTTTTAAAAGTTATCTTACCATGAAGTAGCCGGGTGGATAGCGTTCCTTCTGAGAGACAATTTTTATGTCTGTTACAGGGGAAAAAGGAGCGGCCTGCATATCAACACTTTTCTCCCTCACGTTGGACGGATATAGCAACTTAAGGAAATATTCGAAGTTACAAATCACAGTGGGGTAAGTGAAGGTCGACAAGCTTCGAATTCAATGGGTGTTTTGAACTCTAACATGAACGAGAGGCATACTTCTAACAGGTTGTGTTTGAGTATTGGAGTCGGAGACTACTCGGATGCAACGAATTTATTCCGACTAAGATATCACTCAACATCAGAGAGGCCGAGGTTTGTCGGCTGTATTCGGAACTGAGTCCCAGAATGCAACTCGCAGTTAGGGCAGGTGATGTGTTTTGAGAAAGAAGATGGCTTCGGGTGGGCCAGCCGAAGTAATCGACGCTGAAAAGACGCTGAATTGCGGCATCGAAAACTTTCAATCGGTGACTGAAGAACACTTTGAAGGCAATAATTTAGCTGAAGAAAGCCAAGATCCTGGTAGCTCTTACAGTTTTCCGGGAGAAACGGAAAACGAGAAGGACAACAATCAGTCAGCTGGTATGAGTTTCTAGATTCTCTCAAATTTTATCTTTCAGTTGAGCTTCTATCACCTCTGAAATGGGAGAATTGAGTGTTTAACCTTATCTCTCGTAGGAATTAGCAAAAAAAAATGATTCCCTTTTTGTTCATTTGCAACTTAAGAGGAGTTTTGCGATGGATCGATTATCCGAAGCGAAGTAAAAATTCAGCTTCAGAGTAATCACGTGAAAAAAATGGTTTGTGTATATCATGTGTGCCGTGTTTATGAGCTTGCGTTCCATTTGCGGAACGCGGATCGGCGAGTTTAGTATTCCTTTAATTTCGCAGTTCATCGTGGAATGTTGGAACACTTTGATATCGTTGCCAGAGTCTCTTCTTAAAATCGTTCTACTTGAATTATAAGTGTCATAATACCGTGCCGCTGCACAGAATGCGAATCGTTTACATGTATCGATATTTGAAGTATCTTAGATTATGTTCGACCCGAGATTGAAGAGTAACAATTTAATCCTCACAGGAAAACTTTTCCTGACATTAATTTCTGCAGTAGACATTTTGCAATTTACATTTTCAGGATTTATATGTATCTTCTTCCATATGTACATTGTCAACGGAACGTTAGGTCGTATTCAAATTAAGCATGAACAGGAGGGCCTGTTTATCTAGACAGAGCAGGGAGCCTGTCTATTTGGTTATCTGTCTAAATGTGTGCTGATACTTCAATATACCCCCTTACTGTATGTCTCAGAGGCCTTATGCATTCCATAAGGCAATGCTCTGTGAAGAGTGATTTAATTTGTCACTTTTTGAGATGCTGTCTTTTTTGCAATGAAAGATGTATTGCTGCAGCAATTGTTGTTTAAAAGTAAATAAATTATGAAAATAAAGCCATGACTGTCTTGCTCTGCAAGAACAAACCTTTTACCAAGTAATGATATTAAGTGTGCAGCTAACATCTGGATTAATAGGTCTTAGCATGGAGGTCTTTAGCTTAGCAGGTTCTTTTCAGGAATGGTCAATCTTTAAGTCAAGAGTCACATGGAGGGCTTTATTATTGTTGGAGGTAGACCAGTTTGAATGCTCAAGCAGTATTTGTGGCACCTCATTTTTAGCAGGCCTGATTGGATTTGTAACAGTTATTTTCAATTATTTCTGGAATAAGGTCAAATTGTTGGGTTGCATAGATTTGCCAGCTAAAGAGGAGGTGCATTATTTTATCAGGAGGCTGATGAAACAGAATGGAAGCCTCCTGATGTCTCAAGAACCCACCTTCTAACTTACATGTAACCCATAAAACTTAACATCATTATGGATATCCTCCATACTGTTCTTCATACATTTCTTTAGGTGCAAGCAAGGAGAATTTGTTTAGCAATCAAGAGCTTCATTAGTCAGTGACGGTTTTCATTACTCTCATGACCTTAACCCTTGAACTCCCACGAGTGACAAAGACAGAATTTCTCCCTACAATTTCAATACAGTATCAACCAGATAAGTGATGAGAATAAAGAAAAATATCATTTTGGAGATAATTAATTGATCCAAAACTAAATTCTCTGAACTAACATTATAAGAATTGTGGTTGACAGTAAGGAGAATTTCAAATTTGATCTGGGAGTTAAAGGGTTAATGCGTGATACAGGAGTGTTAATTTTTAAGGAGAAATTAGGTTGGACTCACACTTGTGCATTTAAGGGAAAGAGATTCTGTCAATGTGGAGAAAATCTTTGCCTTTTCCTGACCCTGATGTTCCAGCGAGGGGTTTTATACTTGTAGAGTTTAAAGCTAATTGAAAAAAATTTCAAGTCTGATACTCTGGTACGTTTGTAATAGCATTTGGTTCCATGTGCATGAACCATGAATGTTGATTTCTTCAAATTAATTTCTGAAAATGTTCTTTTTCTTTTTTGTCTTACAAAATACAGTAGCTTAAGTTTAATTAACTGCGATTTTGTGATGCTACATGTATGTTGTCATCAATTTTGTAAAACTGTATTTGATATGTCTCCCTTTCATTTTATTTAAAGCCTCATCAGTGTCAGAAGATGACAATGAGTCTGTTCTGCAGTCATCAAGAGCTCCAAATACAAGTGCACTAGAAACATTAGTACGCACTGCCTGTGAAAGTCTTGCAGTATCAACACTTCTTGCAGGAAATTCTTCATCAAATAACCTGTTAGATGCTCCTTGTCATCAGCCTTCACAGGATACACCAGTTGGCCATGCCTCAAGACTGAGAATAGTGGCTGGTAACTCAAGTGCCAGCTCAAACCTGTATGCTCCATCCACTAGTGCTCTTGGTGAGACTTCAGCAGCTGATGATGCAGTATTTAGTGTCATTTTTGGGCATCGGGATCCTAACAGCAGAGCTAGTGCAGTAGAAGAGGAGCATGATACCTCACAATCCAAAGATCTTCCAGAACCAAGTTTAGATTTAACCCATAACAGACTCTCTGATATGGGAGATGTTGAGGTATGAAAACTGTTTAAGTTAGGATTTGATCAATATATACAGTAGGAGTAGTTTAAGTTGAATTTGATATACTCCCACTGGGTGCATTTGTTAGCCACGTTACTGTAAGGTACATCATGCTACATTTGTATACAGTATGCTGTCTGTGCTTAAGAAGAAGTTCTTCATATATAACGATCTTATACCTATGTTCAGTATTTTATATGAACTACTGTATAAGATGTCTTCAAGGAAGTACATGTAACCATCATTCTAACTGTAGCTTCATTTAAGTCTGTGTCCAGATTATGCCTGAAGTACTGTTGTGCTAATTTAGAAATTAGATTGTGTAATTTTGTTATAAACAAAGAGAACATGTTTGATTTTGCCCAACAAGAAACTTGATCATTGTTTTACTACCACCCTGAAAATAAAAGCAGTTTCATCATTTTAAATCTCTCAAGAGAAAGAGGTTGGGTTTATTCCTTTTGCCTCACTCAGAAAACATATCTAGAATGTGAAAAATAATCTCAAAAGTGAATATTATTTAAAATATGCATATTTTACAACATCTGAAGGGTTCATCAGAGGAGCTAGAAAGAAGAAGGGCAAGTGAACGAGAGCGGAAGAGGAAACCAGTCAGATTTCAATCTCCAACAGAAGATGAACTTAAAGCAAAGAAGAAGAGAAGGAGACGCATGAATCCTTTGCTTCGTATTCCTCGTCGTGATCCAGCCATCCCATTCAAGTGTGACTTGTGTGGTTCTCCATATGTTATCAACCCTTCAAGACGAGGCAACAGACCAAAGCTTTCTTCCCATCAGCCAAGTCCTCGGCATAAGGTTGATCCAGCAACAGGGAAGACTCTCACTCTGTGCAATGCTTGTGGTAGGTGTCAGTAATATGGGTCCAAGAGAAATCTTTTTGGGTGGCAAGTGAGAAATGATTGAACATTCTTATTTTAATATCATTAATAGAACAATTTGGTGGCCTAAAAAATTTGGTTTCAGAGGGGAACATGTTAACAAGAAGGGTTAAAGAAGTTTCTTTGTTGAAACAAAATCATGCTCCTAAACCATCACCTGTTAAGTGCATTAAAAACATAACAAAACAAGGGGATGGACTCTTTACAATGTACATGATGAACATTAGCAAGTCCCTTGCCTCCTTTAGTGGTTACCATTAAAACTTCTTGTTGCCAACAGTTGATCTTTGGTTGCAATATGGAGCAACTGGTTGTTACTTTGGACCCTTTGATTTGGTTTAAAATATGCTTGTCATTGATTCAATGCCATATTGTTTGTGAGCTTACATGTCACCTTTTAACTCCCACAAGTGATTTTACTTGTAACTGTGCTCCGTATCTAGTTACATTATCAAGCAAACAGGTTATGAAAATAACGCTGGTGATCAAAGTTATGGCATCAGGGTTGTGACATGTACATGTATCTTGATATAACACCAAATTCTTGCAATTAACGTATAAGGAAATATTTAGGAGCAAGAGGGAAGAATTTACAATCAGATCTTGGTAGTTACAGGGTATAAAGAGTGTGTAATGTGCTGTCAGTGCAGGGTGCTCATACTCAGGGTTTTTTCATTGAAATGCAACTGTGGACTTGTGTCAGGCATCAGCAAGGAGCAAAGGTTGCTACCTACTTTCTCTGTAGCATTTATACAACCACTAACCTTGACGACCCTGGATAATTTGTTTACTACAAAGGATTTTAAACATTTAAACACTTGATGATTTTGTTACTCTTTGCAAATTTAATGTGAAGCTAGAAGAAACTTGTTTGAACTCTTACCAAGACAATTGTGGAACATGCTACTTCATGTGAAACTTCAAGAACTTGAAGTAGATAACTAATGTAAGGGCAGGCAGTGACATCTTTCTGTAATATCACACTGAAAAGAGTACATCTATCTCTGATTAAGTTTTTTGATGAGAAATGTTTTGACTTGTACCAAATTTAGGTTTGTCCTTTGATCGTCCTAAAAAGCCGAGACGAGAACGCTGTGAACCAGATCCAGAAGAAAAGAAAAAGTATCTGGAGGAGGCAAACCAGTTTGCAATGTCTCTAGTAGAAGGACTCGGAGACCCTGATGGTAATATCAAATGATAAGTTTACTTTTATTAGTAAAGTATGCTTTTTATCACGAGCTTTAAATTGATGCTAAACTGTAAGTTTTAAAAGATCATTTAGATACCTGGCAAGGACTGTTAATGC